TTTTTTTTTTTGAGGATCCTCCATACTGTTTTTCAGAATAGCTGTATTAATTGACATTCCCACCAACAATGTATAAGCATTTCCCTTTTTCCACATCCTTTTCAGCATTACTTATTTTTTGTCTTTTTGATAACAGCCATTCTAACTGGGGTGCAGTAATATTTCACCTTGGTTTTGATTTGCATTTCCCTGATCACTACTGATGTTGAGCATTTTTCACATACTTATTGGCCACCATATATTTACTGAATAAATATTATCTATATAGTCAAACAATAAATATGATAAACTGTTAGGTATTTATTTTTGTGTTCCTGTGTGTACATTTTCTTCTAATATTCTATTTTGAATCAGTTGAGTGCAGAACTTAACTCCATAAACATATTGCCTGAGCCCCAAGGCTTAAGGAAATTCAGCATTTATATGCTTTCTGTGAGATGAAATTGGTCAATATTTGGTAGATTATCAAGTGTAGGAAGAAGCTGAAACTGATGAGAATCTCCACTATGAGAGACTGATTAATAGTAAGTCATTATGAAGAAGAGAATGAAAATTAAAAGATGGTCTATGTGTCATAAATTTTATATGTTCGAACATTCAAAGTCATATTTTTCAAACATAAAACAAATAAATGCTTTACAAAGACAACCAGAATATATTAAAGATTGTGTGTGTATGTATCTACATACCTCTATATACCTGTATCTGTATCTCACTATCTTAGACAGGCAGATAGAGAGACAGATATTCAGATAAGTTGATGATAGATAATTACCTGTATAATTTCAGTTTTGTTTCTGGAAACTATTACTATTGAATTTATTTTCTGCATTTTATATTTTGCATCATTCCAGTTATTTTTTAAATTGCCAGAAGTATATCACTGTTTTCTTTGTGAATAAAACCATGCCAGGAAATTTTGTAGAAATAAAAGATCTTTTGCATGCCTTTATTCAATTACTGATCCCTTCACTCATCATAAAATGACAATATTTTTTAAATGAATATTTTTAGAATGGAACTTTAAAGGTGGTTATACCAAATGCCATCATTTTACACATGACCAAAAAGAACATTCAGAACAGTGCAAAGACAATATCCCAGGTTCATGACTCTAATTTCATTGCTCTAGTTACTACATATTCAACTAAGGTACACTATTCACGAAAATATTGAATAGAAAAAAAGACATTGTATTATTAATTGACCTGTGACTACTGAAAATAATGAATGAGTCAGAGATATTTTGCTTTAAATATTTCAATTTGCAGCAATATAAAAAGTTAGTAATTTGATATTCTCTTAAAATGATTAAGTGTATTTTTATTACCAAGGAACCTCTCATCAGTTTTCTTCAGTTGAATCAGCTGATGTGTATAATGGTACCTACCCCAGCCAAGAAAATAATACCACATCAAGTGTTGCTTCTCTGCAAACACAGCCACCACGATGAGAGTGTGTAGGTAAATGCCCTCACAAAGCATCCAAAAGTAATTGCAGCCCATCAGGTAAAGATGAATGAACTGGGACACTTTGCAACTTACCTGTGAGACAAAAGAAAGCAATTAATACTTAGTTGATTATGAATTCACATATAAAGCAATAGTCTAGCTCAGCAAACATGAACTTTTCTCTCCTCTACACAAAATCTTATACACCAGTGATTCAGATTTGTTAAATGCCAGTCTTCATACCTATCTAATGGTGCCCCTAAAGTTTTCAGCCACAGACGCCAAAGATTCATAACGGCATATTTCCTGGAAAAATGTACAAATGTCAAATCTTCATATAGTGGGTGTGTATTCGCCTAATGTGTTTTGATTATTATGTAATCATAAGTATAAAAGTTTCACACATGAATGACTTTACATCTATTTACATCTATTTTAATTATGTCATCATGAATCCCTTGACTGTTCCATTCTGTTGGCAAGAATCTTAATAATCTTAAAATCAGTTCATTAAAACTGCCCAAAGACTTGGAGAACCTTGCATACTACATGCTACCAGTGCAACTTCTTATTAAATAGCAATCTAATGACTCCATATGTTATCCTATCCAAATATGGAATTTGAGGGTTTCATGTAGGTAAAAAGAAGAAAAAATTGTGGTTTTCCTTCCTCTTTTCCTGAGGACTTCACTTTATCTTCTCCACTTTTAAAGAGGCAGGAAGAAAGAAGTTCAAATATACAGTAAAGAAAACACAGAGGAGTAAGAGATACAGTTTACTCTCCTACCAAGAGGAATAAATATAAAGCTCTCCCAGAAATACATGACCAATTACTCCCATCAGCTCCAATTTCCAGTTTGGAACTCAATAAATATTTAGGGGTAATTTTCATTTTTGATTTTTTTTTTTTTTTGCAAAAAATATTGGAAAGGAAATGCACTGGGAAATAAATATTGGGTTATCATAGAATAGTAAAAATAATATTTTCAAAGGGGTTAGCTTGAAAATAGCTTTACGTGCATTGTTTCATTTAATTCTTACAATAATTCTGTGAAGTACGCATTATCACTAGCCATATATTCTATAGATTTAAAAACTGAATACTGAAGAAGCTGAATGATTTGCTAATATTTACATATCATTAAAGCTACTCCATGAGTAATTCCAATTTTGTTTTCACTACTATACACAATGCCTCCTGACTGAAGGATTTATACAACCTATCAATTCTGCAAATAATTTGCAGAATGCATGACGTTAATTTATTTTTTACATTGAAATATAATTGGTTACACATTTCTTTTTTTTAAATTTATTTGTTGAGTCAATCGATTATACATATTTTGGGTGTTGAATATTGAGATATGTTGGCCAAATCAATATTACTAGCATATATATTGTTACAAATCATAATTATTCTTTATGCCCCTTGTCCAGTCTCTCCCCTTCCCCCATTCCCTCCCTGCTCCCCCCTGGTTATACACATTTCTGAGTTACAGAGTTGAATATCAATATCTGTGTACAATATGTGGTGATCAAATAAGGACAATTAGTATATCCATCATTACAAAACATAATCATTCTTTGTGATCCTCAGCTAATTTCTCACTAACCCCCTCTCCTTACCCCTTTCCCACCTCTAGTAATCACAGTTACGTTCTCTCCTTTTGAAAGTTCAATGTATTGTTTCCTTCCTTCCTTCCTCCCTTCCTCCCTCCCTCCCTCCCTTGCTCCCTCCCTCCCACTTATAGTAAGAAGAGTATTTCTCTTTCTATGCCTGGTTTATTTCACTTAACATAATTTTCTCCAAGCTCATCCATGTTGCTGCAAATAGCAGAATTTCATTCTTTTTAGTGGCTGAGTAATATTCCATTGTGTATATTTTCCACATTTTCCTTATCCAGTTGTACATTGCTGGACATTTAGGTTGGTTCCATATCTCAGCTATTATAAATAGAGCTGCAAAAAACATGGGGGTGCAGGTATCTCTTTGACATGATGATTTCCATTCCTTTGGGTGTATACCCAGAAGTGGGATTGCTAGATCACATGACATATCTATCTGTAGTTGTCTGAGAAAACTCCATACTGTTTTCCATAATGGCTACAGTAATTTACAGTCCCACCAGGATTGTAGAAGTGTTCCCCTTCCTCTGCATCTTCCACAGCATTTGTTATTCTCTGTCTTTTTGGTAATAGCCACTCTAACTTGGGTGAGATGATATGTCAATGTAGTTTTGATTTGCATCTCCCTGATGCTTAGTGATGCTGAGCATTTTTTCATGTACCCATTGGTCATTTGTATATCTTCTTTTGAGAAATATCCATTCAGTACATTTGTCCATTTTTTAATTGGATTATTTGTTTTTTACTGGGAAGTTGTTTGAGTTCCTTTGGATATTAATCTCTTGTCAGATGTATAGTTTGCAAATATTTTCTCCCATCCTATAGGCTGTCTTTTCACTCTGTTGATTGTTTCCTTTGCTAAGCTAAACCTTTTTAGTTATACATAATTCCATTTGCTGATTTTTTTCTTTTGTTGCCCCAGCTTTTAGAGTCTTATTCATAAAGTCTTTGCCCACTCCTACATCTTGAAATGTTTCTCCTAGGTCTCCTTCTAGGAGGTTTATAGTTTCAGGTCTTATATTTAACTGTTTAATCCATTTTGAGTTGATTTTGTCATATGGTGAGAGGTGTGAGCCAAACTTCATTCTTCTATATATGGATGTCCTGTTTTCCCAGCACCATTTACTGAACAGGCTGTTCTTTCCGCAGTGCATGTTCTTGGTGCCTGTGTCAAAGATCAGTTGATTATAAGTACATGGATTGATTTCTAGGTTCTCTATCCTGTTCCATTGGTCTATGTGTCTCTTTTTATGACAATACCATGCTGTTTTGGTTACTATAGTTTTGTAGCATAATTTGAAGTCAGGTAGTGTAATGCCTCTGGCTTTATTATTATTATTTTTTTTGCTCAAGATTTTCTGGCTATTGGAGGTCTTTGTTGTTCCATGTGAATGTTAAGATTATTTTTCCATTTCTGTGAAGAATGTCATTGGTATTTTGATGGGGATTGTATTGAATCCGTAGATTGCTTTGCGTTGTATGGACATTTTCATGTTAATTCTTACAATCCATTTGCATGGAATGTCTTTCCATCTTTTTGTGTCCTCTTTAATTTCTTTCAGCAGTGATTTGTAGTTCTCATTGTAGAAATCTTTCACCTCCTTGGTTAAATTAATTCCTAGCTATTGTAAACTAGCTTGCTTTCTTGATTACTTTTTCTGCCTGTTTGTTGTTGGAGTATAAAAATATTACTAATTTCCAAATATTGATTTTATCTCCTGCAACTTTACTGAATTCATTTATCAGCTCTAGGAGGTTTTCTCTGTAGAGTCTTTAGGTTTTTATATGTATAGGATCATGTCATCTGCAAACAGGGACAATTTAATTCTGCCTTTTCCAATTTGGATGCCCTTTATTTCTTTCTCTTGCATAATTGCTCTAGCGAGTACTTCCAATAATATGTTAAATAGAAATGGTGAAAGTGTGCATCCTTGTCTTGTTCCTATTCATTCAGGATGATGTTGGCAGTGGGTTTGTTATATATGGCTTTTATCATTTGAGATATTTTCTTTCTATTCCTAGCTTGTTGAGAGTCTTTATCATGAAGGGATGTTGAATTTTTCACATGCTTTTTCTGCATTCATTAAGATAAGTATATAGTTTTTGCCTTTGAATTTGTTGATGTGGTAAATCACATTTATTGATTTGCATATGTTAAACCATCCTTATGTCCCTGGGATGAATCTCACTTGATCATGATGTATAATTTTTTTGATGTGCTGCTGCATTCTATTTACTAATATTTTGTTGAGGATTTTTTGTGTCTATGTTCATCAAGGATGTTGGCCTGTAGTTTTCTTTTTTGTTTTATCTTTGTCTGATTTTGGTATCATGATGATGCTGGCCTTATGTAACAGTTAGGGAGAATAGCTTCTGTTTCAAATTTTTGGAATAGTTTGAAAAGAATTCATATTAATTCTTCTTTAAAGATTTGGTAGAATTCAGCCGCGAAGCCACCCAGTCCTGTGCTTTTCTTTGTTGGGAGGCTGCTGATTACTGCTTCAATCTCATTGCTCATTATTGGTCCAATCAGGTTGGTTTATATCTACTTGGTTTAATCTTGGAAGTTCATATGTGCACAACATTAATTTTTAAATAATGCACATTTATGTGAAACAACACTCAATTAATGTCCTCTCAAAGGTAAAAATGAGTTATTCAACTATATTCTGTATATGGAAATGATAGACTTCAGCTTCAAATTTTTATCTATATAGTTTTTAGACATTCATATCTAATTGAGCTTCTAATTCTTGTTTTCATTTAAAAATAAACTATTATGATAAAAGAATATAGAGCATTTCTCAGAAAATTATGTCTATGCAGGGCATTGGTGATATAAGCAGACAATAAATTTTTCTAAGAAAGAATTAAAAATAATTATACTACAATTAATAATTTGTATTTTAAACAAAATGTCCTTGTATATAAATATGAGATTTAGAGTCTTCTGCTCTGCAGCTTTATGACAAAACTCTGAATCTCCATGTCCTAGAGAAATTAACTCTAAAATGGCAGGATGTTGGCCAGATTTATACTGCTAATTATACCCCAGTGTGTTTCCTAACCCAGTGACTTTAGAGCAGAACATATATAAGATTAAGCAATCCAGATGCACATGTCCAAACAATGCAGGGAATTTAGAATTTTGGCTAGTACCCTAAAAACACACACTAACCATATATGAGAGTGTTGTTTATTGACCTGTTGGGTAAAAATTTCTTCCCTTCCCTGATTCAGTAACTAGATAATTTAATTCTTAAGAAAAGACTTTATATACACACACAAACACACAAATCCATACCCAAAACTAAGTGTACATATTCTAAACAATACAAAAGCAGATGATTTTAAAAATTTAAATATATACTTATATGTATACAGATATTTTAATTTAAATGTAGCTTCCATATATATACAGCATACACAAAATATATACATAAGTAAAAGTAAATCTTTAACATGTTTTTAAAAATATAGCCTGTAAGGAAACAATTTATAAAAGTTTGTTGAGATGATGATGACTTGGTAGATCTTTTTAAAATATTATGTTAATAAAATTTAAGGTTCTGCAGGAATATGTATAATTCATTCTGTTCCTGGTTTTATTAACTATTTAAAGTCAGCCTGATGCCAACAATATGATTTTATTTAAATTTCCCATTTTCATGTACTCTTTTTTCTAACTACACAGTTAACTAACTGCGGTTGATTGGTTGATTTTTGGTTGATTTTTTAGATGGATTGAGTAATGTTACATAGTCATAAACCATGCCCCATCAGCCACAGGGCTCTACAGCTATAAAATGAAGTGAAGTTATGTGTAACATACATAAATAATTGAAGCAAAGAAATGTATTTCTCCCTTTGATGTTCGCTGCTGGGGAATGTTGAGCAATACTTACCTTTCTAGATTAGAATATAACTAAATATACTCTCTGTATGTCAGACCTGAAAATATACATATATGTGTACTTAATTACACACATAATGTATATATCGGGACACCCTTCCCCCATCTCTCCTTTTCCCTTTCTTCCCCACTTGCACCTTGAACCTAAGGGTACAACTTTGTTTTACTTACAGGATTTGTGGCTACTAAGGCCTGGTTGTTGGCCACGGCAGTGAGATGAATGATTGTTACAATAGAGTTACAAATGAAAGAGAAAAACAGATTTTTGTGCAAGGTAATCCTTTGGCAACTTAGGCTCCTGAAAGGCAAGAGAAACAAAGTGTGTTGACATCATCAAATGTTTCTACATTTTTTCTTAATCGTCATTCAAATAAGATACATTACAAATTCTTAACAGCAGTTCTAATTTTATAAGAATTGTTTTTTCTCCCCAAGATTCACTCACTGTAAAATCTTAATTAAGGAAAACTTATAATTCCTTAAAACCTAGAGGCAAATGAGTTAGCTGCTTTAGTAGATAGAGGTAGACATACAAAAGAATAGGAAATTTGCCCATACAAGTCCTCTACATAAATTTCTACTGTTTTTTTCTAAACATGATCAATAGTCACATTTTTATTCATCCTGCAAATGCAGAAATTAGGATTCAATGAAGTTAGATGACCAAAAAATTATGCAGCTAATAAATTTAAACACTTTAGATTTGTCTAAATCTAAATTCAGATTTTCACACAGACAATGCTCTTTTCATTACACCACGGAAATGCAGAAATTAGGATTCAATGAAGTTAGATGACCAAAAAATTATGCAGCTAATAAATTTGAACACTTTAGATTTGTCTAAATCTAAATTCAGATTTTCACACAGACAATGCTCTTTTCATTACACCACGGAGACCGTTCCATTAATGTGGACTGTGTATTTTATTGTAGCGGTAGACTGCAATTGTTGTTGGTATGTAGAACAATTTTGAGAAAGATAATAATGTATTTAGAATAGATGAATTGTTAAAAATATAGACTTAGCAATCAGTGAGGTTTGTTCAGCTTCACTAATTTTTTTCTAACTGGCCCAACCATACAGAAGATATAAAAATAGTATCACCATTTACTGCAGTTCCTCTTGTATAAAACAAATGAGAAGAACTGGCTGTGCAGAGTTTATAGAAGTAGATTTCAGGAAAAGGTGACATTGGTGATAAGTGATGCTGCTCTTCAGATGGAATTCACATCCATTCTAAGAGGATTGCCCATATATGACTGCCTTACCCACACTGAAGGACAAACTCAACAACTGTCACCTTCATGAAGCATTTACTCAAAGGTTTATTTTAAATAAGGTTGTAAAATAATAGAAATTGTAAGAACTTAAAAATGAGCTACTGGTATGTATTCTCTTCTAAAGACTTGATTATTGTGAGTATAGCCACACACACACACACAAAAGACTTCTTTTACTATGTTAAAAAAGGATGTATTGCATTTCTCGTGTTTTCCTTTTTTAAACCCAACGTCATCATTATGGACAAAGTTTTGAAATAACAATAAAGTCCACTTGGAATGGAGAATATTTAATATCAAAACCAAACAAATACTTAAGAAGATACTTTAAATCATTTCGTTACAGAGATATAAAGATTTATTTTGAGTGTTTTACAAAATTATTAAAATAATAGGGTAAACCCAAATAATTCACCCTACATAACTCAAACCAAAGACTTCTGTGTTGGGAACCCTCATAGCCAATTTAGCTATCCAAATTGTATTAAACTGGACCATTGCCACATCATTTCATTTCGTGTTGTGTAAATATGTCCTACAGTCTAAAATATTAATCTTTCTCTTTAGTTTCTTCTAACTGCAGGCACTGTGCAACTTAAATAAATGTGGACAAATGCTATCTGACATATGGTTTCTATCACTGGTGGTAAAAATGTCTCAGATTTTTCCAGCAATGTTACTGTTTTCTTCTAAACATATTCATGAACACTGTGAGTAGATTGGTACAAATAAAATCAACTTGAAAATGAAAACCAAAAATATGTGACTGGCAGACAAATGGTTTATTTAAATAAAACCCTAAAATATTTACGTATTTTTAAAATGTTAACCTACTCTAATTTTACCTACTCTAATTCTGAAGTAGTTATTTTTTTTATTCAAAATATCAAAAGCAATTATTTTACAGGCTTAAAAAACATTTATATATATAAAAACCCAACCTCTCTTAAATTTTATAATATCCTTTTCTGTTCTAGCATAACCATAGAATAGAAAATGTAGTTTGTGGGTCTGGATTGTTTCCATTTCATATTGTCTACATATAGTTATTTCAGAACACTATTTCAATAGCCAATTTTGGCAAGAAGAGTCATAGAGGCAGTTGGTGCATATGTTGTCAACAAAACCATTACATTTCATATATAAGGTAAGCATGTCTTTTCAATTCTCTTTGGAATATTAGAAACAAGTAGTGTTGAGTCAGTACATGCAATTCCCAATGTGTTTTGAAGAACAACAGGACAGTGAAACTGACCTCTGCCACCTACTAACAATATGACTTTGGGCAAGTTATTTAAGACTTCTCATCCTCAGTTTCCTCATCTGTAATTTAGAGATAATAATTGTACTTCATGGGAGTGGCTTGAAAGTTAAAGGAGACAAATCATTTCAAGTGCTTAGTGTAACTTCTAACCATGATGAACACTCAATGTTAAGTTAGGTATCATTTTTTAACATAATTATCGTATGGCTGATTTTAATCAAGTTCTTTAATGGTTTTCTGTTACAAATATTAAAATAGCATCAAGGTTCACCTCAGTAATATAAAACTGCCTCTATATTAAAATACATATGTTTTAAGGGCCGGCCCCGTGGCTCACTCGGTACAGTGCGGCACTGGTAGCGCTGAGGCCGTGGGTTCGGATCCTACATAGGGATGGGGGGTGCGCACACTGGCTAAGCGTGGTCCAGACGACACCATGCTGAGGGTTGTGATCCCTTACCAGTCAAAACAAAACAAACAAACAAAATACATAGGCTTTAAGTAATTCAGCAAAACAGTAAAGAAATTGTCATTTTTTTCTTACAAAACAGAAGAATTTAACATTAGAGAGACAATTGTCATTTGATGAAGGGTGATAAATCAAACAACCTAAATTATCTTCCTAAGGAATCTTCCCCATAGTTGTCTCCAAATTACCATGTTCACTATCATGCTGATCTCAAATATTAATCTGCAGCATCTTGATAGTTCTACCACTAGCATGAACAAAAACTTAGCCTTTGTTTTCCATTTGGTTTTGACATGAGCTAGAAATTTCCAAACTACTTTCCTCAATGCAAATCATGAGCAAAATGAGTCATAGAAAGAGGGAATATAAGGAATATAAGAATAGCCCAGTCTACAAAATACCCTTTTCTTATTCTAGTTTATCTAATTTAATTCTTAACTGCTCAGATCTTTTCCCAAGAAAATACTATCCCTGTATCCAAAAGGAAAGCTGATGTCAATCTGAACATTGTCAAAAACAACAGGTAAAAAAAAGAGAAATGTATTAAAAGAATAAGCAACTTGCCTGTCTTTTGTCTATTGAATGGAACCTTCATCAATAAAATTACCTAATTATGTATGATAAGAAGTAGATACAACCTCTATCAATAGCTCTCTATTAGCTGAAGGTGCATTTGGTCAGATTAGAAAGAGCATGAGTGTTTCAAACAAGGTACTCAATGAAAGTCCCTCTTCCTCCATCATGTTCCCTCTTCTCTTGCTCTTGTCTTTCGGGGCTGCGTATTTAATATAACATAGGAGTGCAGGCCTGCATAAGAACAGCCGTGATCATTTCATGTGGCCACTGGTTTCCTCCTGTTTGTGAACTGTTCTGATACCAGTGCTCTACCTGGTCTCCTAGTGGAAAGGAAACCAAGAGAAAAGAAACAGTCTCTCTGAATCCCTGTGATTCTTGTGCTCCAAAAACAAACAAACACCCTTCTAAAGGTAAAAGTTATAATAATAGCAGCCACCATTAACCACGTCTTTAGAATATCCCAGGCACTTCAAAGACATTATCTTATTTAACAACCCCTTAAAATATTATTATTCATTAATAAAATTGAGGTAAATTGCTAAATGTCATACTCTTATTAAAAGTTCTGTTGAATGTTGAAGTTTTTGAGGAAGCAATATGGCTTTTGTCTACTTTATTATTCATTTAGTTACTTACTGTTTATGGATCCATGATAAGGTATAGGGCACTGTTTCTAGATATTGGAGAAACAGTTGTAAATAATACAGAGCAAGACTCTGATCTCACGTTATTCACATTACAGTGGACAGTAAATAAACACATAAATTAAATAATGTAATTCCAGATAGTAGTGTGTGCTTTTTAGAAATGAGAACAAAATTAAGGGATAGAAAAAGACTGTGGCCAGGGTGAGGGGAATATTCAAGATACAACTGTAACAAGAGAAGACAGAGGAGAAAAGTATCCCTAGCAGAAAAGATATCTGGAATCAAAGTCCTCAGCTTAAAGGTTTTGAGGGACAAAAAGAACAGACAGCGTGTCAGAACATTATGCAAAAGTCCACACTGTTGTTTTCCATTCTATAAACGAAGAAAATTAAATTCAAAGAGCATAATTTACTGAATGACTCTTTGATCCTGAAGCTCATAGTCTGTAGTGTTACATCTTTTTTTTTCTTTTGGCCAATTAATGGAAAATTGTTTGTTATATTCCTTATTTTTCATATTATCTTCACCTCTTCACTTTAAGACCTTCTCAGTTTTTGACATCTTAATGTTCCATCAGCAAACGTTAGCAACATAATTAGTATCCAGTTGTTCCTGGTTTTTGTTTTTACTAAATACTAAAAAGATGTTACAGTTTTAAGGGTTTACTTTTACTTTCTCCTCATAGTCATATCTATGGGTACAGTCTAAGGAAATAAACTATCTCTGCAAGAGTGAAAAACTAAATTGAAAAATTTATTATGACTTTGGGGAGAAAAATTTTATTAAATATCTATTCTCTATTTCAAATTACAAAGTTTTAATCTATTCAAATAACTATATAATTTTTACTTCAAGAAATGGATCATCAGGTTTGTTAAAATAATTTATTGTCATTCTATTCCCATGATAATTTGGGTATGCTTAAATAGCACTTAGGTTTTAATTTGCTTAGGCAAAATGGATGAAATGCAGTTATAAAGAAGTTATACATCTATCAAAAATATCAACAGACATGAAAATATGTAACCTTTTAACAGGCATTTATAATTTTAATTAATACG